AGGATATACACAGGAAGTACACAGTCTGAAAAGGAAGTTCATAGTCTGAAAGTGAAAGGATACAAAACAATACACCATTCAACCAGAGCCTGAAAAAGAGCAAGAATAACTATCTTTTTCAGATACAGCAGACTCCAAGCAAAAACTGATCAGAAGAGACAAAAAGGGCCACTATATATTGTTAAAGGGAACAAAATAATAGGAAGACATAGTAATTATATCTATGCACCATTTGGTCAGTGCACCCAACTTTATAAAACAAAAACTACTACTTAAAAGGACAGATAGACACCAATAGGGTCATAGTACCTTTTTTTCTATTTACTTAGCTGCTCATCCCACCAGGTGTGTTTACTTTTTTGGACTTACTGGCATTGTTGGCTTCACTGTCTCTTTCTAGGACATCCTTGAGAGTTTTTGTAGTGCTTATTTGGCGGTCAGGATTTTCTTGAGGTGCTCCTTGTCGTGGGTATGCTTTACTTCTCTGTCAATTTTGAAGAAAAGTTTTGCAGGATACATAAGTTGGGGTTAGAAATTGTTATCATCTGGGGCTTGACACACTTCACTCCAAGTCCTCCTGGACTTTAAGGTCTGTGTACAGAAGTCTGCTGTAATTCTAATGGGTTTGTTTACCTTTATATGTGATTCACTGCCTTTCTCTCACAGCTTTTCAGATTTTATCCCTGATATATATAACGCTGCACAGAGATTATTTTTCACTTGTGGTTATTTGGGGCTCTACATGCCTCACTTATTTGTATGTTTATTTCTCTCCCTGTATTTAGAGAGTTTTCTGCCATTACTCCTATGAACAGGTTTTTTGTTGTTGTTTTATTTTGTTTTGTCTTTTTGAGACAGGGTTTCACTATGTAGTTCAGGCTGGTCTTGAACTCACTTTGTAACCCAGTCTGGCCTTGAACTCTTGGAGATTCTCCTACCTCTCCTACCTCGGCCTGAGTGCTGAGATTACAGGCATGCACCACCACACCTAGCTTATGAACAGGTTTTTTAATGCCATTTGTGTTGTCTTCTGATTTTTCACTAATTCCAATTACTCTTAGATTAGTCTTCTTTGTGTCACCTAGCAGCTACTTCATGTTCTCCTGTTGCTTTTAAGGTGTCTTTGAGTAGGTGGTCTTTGAAGGCATTGTTATCTTCTAGTTTTGAAACTCTGTCCTCACATTGGTCACTTCTTCTGCCCATACTTTCAATATGACTTTTAATCTCTTGAATTTCTGAATGAAACCTTTTCATGGACTAATTCTTCGCTAAACTGGTCATTCATGCTTTGTGTCAACTAGCTCATTGATTTGTTCATCTTTTTATTAGTGTCTTCTTAAAGCTCCTGGATCATTTTGGCTATTACTTCCATTATCAGTTCGTTGTATCTTCTGTGATCCCACTGAGTACCTCTCTGGTCTGTTTTCTAACCTCCTCTGTTATCCTTTTGAGTAATTTGGGTGTGTGGCTTGTGCTATTCTGCCCTTTGGTACCCTCTGGATTGGCTTCAGGGAGTTGGGAGTTTGGGGAGGCATTCTGTTACCTTGTCTGCTCATGTTTCTATTGGTTTCATTTGTGCTGGTTTGTTCTGTTTTGTGCTGAGGTTTATGGATGCTTCCCGTGAAAAGACTCTGTTGCTGGTGTAGAGCTCTCTTTAGTTGCTTTCCAGTGTTGTACGTGGCCATGGCTAATTACAGTTCTTTGCCTCAGCCCCAAGATCCATTAACCTTGGTTAATTTGAGAGGGGAGGATGCAGTGTAATCAACCCAACAACTGAATTCTCTAGGAAAGTACTCTTGTATCGATAATGTCACAAAGGTAATCTGAGTGTTGATTTACAGAGAAATAGCAACAATTACACAGCCCTGAGACATAGCAAATCCACTATAGTGGCATCATCCAAGACAAACTGGATATTAATGTACAATAAGAACAAATTATGTACCATCATTTACCCAAGAGAAGATATCCACAGTTTGGAGTGAAGGAATCCACAATTAAGAGTGTAAGCATTAAGGCAACCAGGCATTGACTTACAGCTAACATGTACTAAATGAGACAGTGATGTCTCTGCTCATAGTAGAAAAGAATTCAAGAGTAACTTTACAGAGTAAAATTAACTATCAAAAGATTAATAAAGCTTTATGGTTATACTATCAAAGATATGTGGCTTGGGAATGGGGAAATGCAAGGAAATTTTGAAACCTTAAACTGTGATATAAGAAGGAGAGAGAAATAGTACAAAAGATCTAAGAAAAAGATGAAAAGATAACAGAAAAAGACAGGTAAAAAAGAAATTATATAAGGAGTAAAAATAAGAGAAAAAACTTAAAGAGATAAAAATTAAAAGGGAGAAGAAAGAAAGAAAAAAAGAAAGGAAGAAAGAAAGAAAAAGAGATATAAAGCAATAAGAAGGACAAGGGGCCGGGGATATAGCTCAGTGGTGACAACACCTGCCTGGCAAGTGCAAGATCCTGAGCTCAATTGTCGGCACCAAAAAAAAAAAGGAAGAAGGAAATTCCCCAAGGCCCAATACATTGGTGAAGAAGAAAGGAGGAAACAGAAGAAAAACACCAAAAACAAAAGTAAACTAAACTAAAAACACACAGATACTCAAAAAAATAAAAAAATGAAACAAAAACAAATACTTTCCTCTGTGATTTCAAACATATGGTTTCACTCCAGGGTCTGCAACCTGGGGGCAGTGTCCCCGTCAACACCCGTCCCTGCTCACACTGGCTGATAAAGGAAGCAGTCAGACCCCAGGTCCGTGCTGGATGAAGGCACCAGCAGGCAGTAGGATCAGGGCCAGGAAACCAGTGTTCTGACTTTCAAACCCAGAATAATTTAGGCTGAGCCTGACCTCTGGCCATGCGGCTGAGGCCTATGTCCTTTAGAACTCTGGAGTGAGTAGGAGCAAAGAAATCCCTTCTCCAAAGAACCTGTTTTATAACATAAAAATTGGGTCTTGGGTCATACACATTTTCATATTAAATTTTTTTATATTAAATTTTTTGTTATAAAAAAAAAAAATCACCAGCTTGCCAGAAGCCCTGGATTCCCTCCTCCAGTCGCTCCCTGACCCCTAACAAAGTGAAACCACATAGCATGTCCGGTCTCGCCTGGCTTCTTTCACTCCTTGTGTTCCTTAAGGCCCATGCATTTTATTACACAGAAGCACAGATTGTTCAAATCTCTCTGCCTCGCAGAATTCCACTGATTGAATGGCGACTTGCACCATTTACTCTGCTGATAATGGGTGTTTGGGTAGCTTCCAAGGTGAGGCTGTTAAGTAGTGCTGTTTGACCTCAGAGCAGCTCCCGCTAGGAAGCCCAGAGGCAGAGAGAAGGAATTTGGAGAACTCAACGTTTCTGCTGTTCCCTGAAGAGGTCTGTGGCGCCACCTGCTGGACAAAGGCACATGACATGCCCCGTTGCTCTTACCACAATTTTTCCGAGCACCGGAGAACAGCCAAGGGCTGACCCTTGACCCCACCTGGAGACCACACCCCTCTTGAGGGAAGGTGGTGTGCTGAGCCACCACCCTGGCTACCCTATAACTGTAGCTCTAATTCCAGCCCACAGTTCCTAGAGTCCTAGGCAGGCTAGGGATCCAGGATCTGCTTGGCCAAGGGACGGGGCTGGTGGGTGGATGCCACCCCAAAGGCCCCTGGCGGTAGGGCTGGCTCCTCCTTGACCTCACTGAGCTGTGATCCCTGGCAGACAGATACGCTGGTGTCCTAATGGGACAGGTTCACACGCAACCTCGAGGCCCCGCCCTGCCCAGACCTGTTCTGGATCCTGCCACTGCCCTTTCCCAAGGCCGCCACACCTTCCTCCCTTCCGACTGGGGCAGGGCCTCAACCAGGAAGGCTGGCAGGTGGAGGGCCGGGCCTGCCACAGCCGGCGATGGAAGCCGCAGTGCAGCCTGTGCTCTACCAGAAGCTGAAGCTCTGGGAGCCGAGAATGGAGTCCGGAGAAGAGGAGGAGGCGGCGGAGGAGGAGGAAGGCGAGGAAGAGACCTCAGAGCCCCTGGTCATCTACCCCAGGAGGCCCCAAGACAGCCCTCGGTGAGTCAGGGAGGGCTCTGGGCACCCCATTTCTCAGGCAAGTCCCTCTCTCTGGAGTCCTTACAGGGAGCCAGGCAGCCCATGGTTGGCTTAGCTCCAGGGACTTTCTGGATGAATGGAGCAGCCCTGGGCTGAGCGGCTCAGTCAAAGGCCTGAACAGACATTTGTACCAAGCAAGCCCCCGTCCTGTCCATGGCTCTGTCACAGGGCCCTACTCCCCACGCCCTGTGCTGGTGGCACCTGCTGGGGCCTGGCTACGCCGACTGGGCCCTGCTCCTCAGCCTGCCAAGCCCCCTCAGGTCTCCTGCTGGCCAGAGGCCCCTGCTTCTCCACCTCTGCAGACACTGCCTCAGCGCCCCAGCTCCTTCCACCCCGGGTCTTTGCCATTGCCCTGCCCGCTGCCTGGAAGCCCTCTCTCCCTGGCGAACGCAAACTCTTGCAAAATCAAAGTCTGTGGGGAAACATTCCCTGGGTTCTCTGGAGGCTCTTCTGGAGGGCTCCTAGCCCTGGCTCAGAACACCCATCTTTGCAGGAACAAGGCTGGCGGGCTGCCCGGAGCCTGGGCCCGACTGGTGGCGGCCCTGCTGCTGCTGGCAGTCAGCTGCTCCCTGGCCGTTAGGCATCTCCAAGGCAAGGGCAGCTCGGCAGGAAGCTTGGGCTCCGGGGCCCCTCCAGCCAGCGGACATGCCCATCATGCTGGCGAGTACCACCATGGTGCCATCATCAGCCCCGCAGGTGGGTTCTGGAGAGTGGAGGACCCAGGGCCCAGGGCCACAGGCCCCGCCCCATGACAGTCCCTTCCTTACTGCAGTCACTTGTTCCCACCTGGGCCAACAGCTGCTTGTCGCTGGGGGCAACGTCGTGGATGCCGGAGTTGCAGCTGCTTTGTGCCTGGCTGTAGTGCATCCTCATACCACAGGACTAGGTCAGTAACCTATGACCCTGGACAGTGACCCCAACGTGGGTCTTGGAACTCAATAGCCCTGAGCCTCAAGCTAGTGAGCAGAATGTAGGATGGGGCACTGACCAACCTACAACCCTAGGCTATGGTCTTTGAGCCTTGGTCTGTGCAATCTTTTCAGCAGGCTGGATCCCCAGCTCAGTCACTAACTTCAGTTTCAGCCCAGAGTGGTGGTACACACCTAGAATCCCAGCATTCAGGAGGCTGAGGCAGGTGGATCACTGTGGAGTTCCAGGACAGCCTGGGCTACACAGAGAGTTCAAAGCTGGCATGAACTACATAACAAGACCCTGTCTCAAAAAAAACGAACAATCTTAAGCTAGTCAGTGACCCTTCAGCTGGGCTGCGGAGTGACACTGGCCCATCCTAGCCAGTGCTCCTGACCCTTCTGTAACCTTTTCCTTCCACCAGGTGCCATGTTCTGGGGCCTTTTCTATAACAGCTCCTCAGGAAACTCAACTGCTCTGACCCCGGGAGCAGCCCAGTCCCTGGCACCCGGACTGGGGCTGCCAACCGCTCTGCCCGCCCTGCATTTGCTTCATGCCCACTTTGGCCACCTGCCCTGGCCACGCCTGCTCACGGATCCTACCATGCTGGCTCAGGAGGGCTTCACGGTGGACGCATCCCTGGCAAAGGCTCTGGCAGCCCAGGGCACAAAGGGCCTCTGTCCACTGCTCTGCCATGCTGATGGGACACCCCTGGGCCTCGGGGCCAGAGCCACCAACCCAAAACTAGCAGCTGTGCTACGCAAGGCAGCTCTCGCCCCCACCCCGGACCTTGCCAGGGATGCCCTACTGAGTGTGCTGGCCACAGACCTCGGGCTGGAGGAAACTGCGGCTGGGCCCATGCCCGCCTTGGAGCCAGCACTGCAGCTCTCCATGCCTGAGGGCATCCTGTTCACCACGCCTGCGCCTTCGGCCGGCCCAGAGCTCCTGGAACTGTTGAAGGCGGACCCACACTCCAGGGAACCCAGCCCCGGCCCCTGCCCACAGCTCCCACCAAACGCTGGGGCCCCTGTGAGCAGCATCCTGGCCACCGTGGACAGCAGCGGCTCTGTGCTCCTCCTCGCCTCCTCGCTCAACAGCTCCTTTGGCTCTGGACAACTGTCCCCAAGCACTGGGGTCCTGCTCAGCAACATGGTAGCCAGGTCTGCAACTAGTCCCTGGGCCTGCCCCCTCATTCTCCATGGCAGCCTGGATGACCCAGAGACTGACGTGTTAGGACTGGTGGCTTCGGGGACCCCCAGGGTGGCCAGAGCTGTGGCTCATGCCTTGCTTAGCCATCTAGCAGGGCCCCAAAAGCAGACCCAACATCAGCACCAGGGCCAACAAGGACCCACAGAGAAACCCGGCATCTGTGGCCAAGGGACCCTACTCCAGGTAGCAGCCCATGCAGAACATGCCCACGTCACCAGTGTCCCCAGTGGCTGCTGCCCCTTCCAGGGCTTCTAATGGCGGGGCAGGGGTCTAGCACGGACAGGGGTCTCCAGCCTGAGCAGACCCAGGAGTAACAGAGTGTATAGAGTAAACAAGGACTGTGTATCCATGTCTGGCCCAGTCCCAGCCTCCGGCCAGGTCAATTACCCCTCTTTGCAGGAGCAAGGGCTGGACCAAGGACCCGGGGCGAAACTCCAGCACCCAGGGCTAGCTCAGTCCTTCCTCACACCATCCCCACCTGATGGGGTTTCTGGCTCTTTTATCAGCCAAGGAACTTGAAGATCATAAAAAGCAACAGGGCCTGGGGCTAATTCAGATCAGCTCCAAGGAGGACTGGAGGAGGAACATGCTAGGGACACAGCGGGCAGTGCCCAGGTGACTGCTGGCATCTCCGTCTTCCTTCCCAGGCCATTCTTTCCCAATGTCCCTGAACTGGGAACAAATAAAAAGCAGGTTTCCTGGGTGCCAAGTGCCATTCTTGCTTTTTGGTTAATTTCCCATCAGCCTCTGAGGCCCTCGAAGTCAGGGCACCCCTTCTGCCCCAGGCCAGCACAGGCGACCAGCACCTGGAGAAAGGCAGGGCCTGGGCTGTGTCTTCCAGCTTCCCCCCCGCCCTGCTGCCCTTCTGCTGCTGGGGTGCCACATATGCGAGGCAAACCTCTCAACATCAAAGCAGGGCAGACGTAACTGTGAGTAGGCAGTCCCCCAAGGGTCTGGGTCAAAGGGCTGGAGCTGGGTGTGTATAATTGTGGGAGGGGGGAGGTATGGGGGCTGTATCCCAGGCCTCCCACATGCTGGGGCTCTACCACTGAGCTACACACCCAGCCATGTTTATTGTTTCATATCAGGACAAGAGTCTTGCTTAAACTGTGCACAGTGGGCTTGAACTTTACATCTCCCTACCTCGAGACTACCAAGTAGGTGGAACTACAGGCGTACACCACAGCGCCAGGCTGGGGTCTCTTTAGATACAACTCTCTAGAAAACAGCTTCTCCAATGCCAGACATGGTGGCGCATGTCTGTAATCCCAGCACTCGGGAGGCTGAGGCAGGAGGATTGCTGTGAGTTCGAGACCAGCCTGGGCTACACAGTGAGCCGAAGGCCAGCCTGAACCACATAGCAAGACCCTATCTCAAACAGAAAAAAAAAGTATAGCAGGATGGGTGTGGTGGCACAGGTCTGTAATCCC